TTAGCACCTACATTTAAAATACAGAAATAAAAGATGGTTTGTTCTACCTCTTCCTAGACTACAGAACAGCCTCATGAGTCCTCACAAACAGTACTACTTTGTGTATTGCTTATTCTGTTTTTCTTTTTCTCTGTAGCTCAGTTATTGCTAAGTACTTTTTAAATAATTTGTTTAAATTGGTGTACAATTAGTCAGCAAAAAAGGAAAAGTAGATGGTTAACCTGTTATTGTGTTGTTTTAAAACCAAATTATTCATTTTGCTGTATTCCTTCAGGAGATTACCTAGCTGAAATAGGTGCTTTTCTTTAATTTTTGGACATCAGTTTTAATTTTTTGGTGCCATGCTGCTGTCTTGTTTTGTCAAAGCTGGTAAAGCAGTGAGCCTTAGGAGTTAGACAGGATGCACTTCAGTACAGCTGTGAGTCTCACAGGTGTGTGGTACTGTTTTTGTGTACTGATGTAGGATTCTGCCAAAGGACTCTCCATGTTTACAGGAGAAGAGGAAGTCTTTGCCTTTCAGCGTACTCTATCACGGCTCACAGAAATGCAAACTGAACAGTACTGGAATGATGGGGACAGAAGCAAAAAAACAATTAAAAGTTGAATGAAATCACCAAGAAGTAAAATTACAGCATGAAATCACCAAGAAAAAACTGGAAAAGCTTCAGAAAAGCACTGGAAAGCTTTTTAGCACAACTTGAATAATAATTGCACTTTATCATTTGGACCATGTTTTTTTTCATCAATAGTGTTTTGAGTTTAAGACATGAGGTCTCAGTTATTTGTCTGTACCACCAGTGTGTGGATATGTGAAATTTTGCCTTTATTTGTTCTTCTTCAAAACTGTCTTGCTGTCTGGCTCCATTCAGTGGTGGTGAATGGAATTACCTCCAGCTGGTGGCTAATGACCAGTGGGGTTCCCCAGGGCTCAGTATTGGGGCCAGCCCTCTTCAATATCTTTATGCATGGTATGGACAAGGGGATCAAAGTGCACCCTCAGTAAGTTCACAGACAATGCCAAGTTGGGTGGGAGTGTTGACCTGCAGGAGGGTAGGAAAGCTCTGCAAAGGGATCTGCACAGGCTGGATCAATGGGCTGAGGCTGGTTGTATGAGGTTATATATAGGCCAAGTGCCAGGTCCTGCCCTTGGGTCACAACAACCCTAGGCAGCACCACAGGCTGGGGAAGAGCAGCTGGAAAGTTGCCAGGGGTGGGGTGCTGGTAAACAGAACATGAGCTAGCTGAGCCCAAGGGGCCAAAAGGGCCAGTGGAATCTCAGCCTGTATCAGCAACAGTGTGGCCAGCAGCCCCAGGCAGGAATTGTCCCCCTGTACCTGCACTGGTGAGGCCTCGCCTTGAGCACTATGTCCAGTCTGGGCCCCTCGCTACAAGAAGGACATTGAGGTGCTGGGGCCAAGTCTGGAGAAGGGCAATGCAGCTGGTGAAGGGTCTGGAGCACAAGTCCTGTGAGGAGCAGCTGAGGGAGCTGGGGGTGTTTAGTCTGGAGAAAAGGAGGCTTGGGGAGGCCTTACTGCTTTCTACAACCACCTGAAAGGAGGGTGTAATGAGGTGAGGGTTGGACTCTTCTCCCAGGCAACCAGGATGAGAGGACACCGCCTCAAGCTGCTCCAGGGGAGATTCAGGTTGGACATGATGAAGAATTTCTTCACTGAAAGTGTTGTCCAATATTGGAACAGGCTGCCGAGGGAGGTGGTGGAGTCACCATCCCTGGAAGTATTAAGGAAATTGCTGGACATGGCACTTAGTGCTGTGGTTTATTTGATAGGATGAGGTTTGGACAAAAGTTGGACTTGGAGTTTATTCTTAACCTTAATGACTCTCTAAAATATACCTTTGATGTTCAGGAAGTTTGACGGGATTAGAAATTCCCCGGAGAACTGGCCTACAGACAAAGTTAATGGGCTATGCAGAGTCATTTTATGATGTCACACGAAGTGGGCACTTCAATGATTATGTACTGCTTCTGTCATTTACAATGCTGCTCGCACAAAAGGAAAATCAAATGCTTCTTTAAGAAACTCCTGATATTGTCCATGCTAAAATCTCATAACTCCTCAGTAGTGTGTTCTAGTTTTGTATGTTTTTTCTATTCTCTGAACTAGCTATGTGTTGACATTCAGTCTCCAGGAGTTTTTTTAATCAGACTGTTGCTCAGTCTGGTTCATTGAAAGCTAATGGTTTTACCCAAGAGAGAACCCTGAGGAGGAGCTTTAAGGTACTTGAAGCTGCACAGGATTAAGATCTAAGTAATGGATGGGAAAAGAGACTTGATAAGATGGGGTATGCTGTAACAAATAAGTGCAAGTTCATATTCTTCCTAAATTTTGTGTCGCTTGCAAGCCTGGATATGCTGCCTCTATGCCAATTACATCTCTACCCTGAATTTTCTTGTTTCTTCTACACCAAACCTTCCACTGCTGCTGATACACCTGCCCTGATATGAGGGGAGTAGTACTCAGTACTACTGAGGCAATTCATCACATTAACCATAGGAATGTCTTTTATGGAAAAGATAGGAAGGAACTGATATCTCAAGACACATCATCCATCCTCATGTTTGTAGTTGGAAACTATATGTTAGTTAAAGATGCAGTGGTGACATTCTTGATTTTAATTTAACTGAAACAAAACATAGTATTGTGTGAATTGGCATATTGCATATTTTTATAAAGTAATCTTAAGAGCATATTTAGAAACTTTGAGCAGAAAAAAACATGTAGATAGACTGAAAATATCGCCCTCATGTCCTAGGGAGGAGATACATAACACATTGTCCACAACTTTAAGAGGTTTTGTTGGATTTTGCAACATGACCTTTTTCTGCCTCTTAACAAATTGTCTGCCATCACAATTAAAAAAAGCTTTTAAAAGGCCCTTCTGGCCAGTAGGGTGGGCTGGAGACGCCCTGTGCACTTACTTTTGCTAGGGAGCCACATGCTCAATTCTGGTTTTCTGTTCTGATCCCTTCTGTTTGTCCTGGAAGTTACTTACACTGGCTATACTTGCTCTTCAAGTAATTTTTAAAGCCTGTATTTATAGTTTGCAGCTAATGGAACTGTATTACTATTCCCACAAGGATGACTACTATTGAGAATTTTAATGTGTATTTATGAAAACTCCAATCAGAATACATTGTTTATACTTAAGAATATCCAAATAATTGTTGTATGCTTTCAGAGACTTGGATTAGGTTTCTCAGCTGAGGGACTATTGACATTCATGCATGTGTGTCTGTATATACAAACACATATGTATATTTAATTTATACATTTACACATGTACATATAAATCTAGATAAAACTAATATATATATAATTTAAGTGTGTGTGTTTCTGTATTTATATGTGGCACTCTATACTTAGCCTGGGACTGAAGTATCAGTCTCCTGAAGCTTCAGGCTTGAGTTTTTTTGAGTAGCATTCAAATGCTTCCTGCCTTGAACCAGAATGTGTTGTAGGAAAATGGGAGATAGTGGTAGATAACCTCTAAGGCACTTTGCATCTGGATATTTATTTACATACACTTAAAAAACTGTTCATATGTTTAACCTGTATGTCCTTCTCTGTCAGGTGGTATAGGGGAAATGTGTAATCTTGCAGAACACAGATGACACGTCTGGGACATATGGGGGAGAAGGTCCTGGCAGGTTCTTCATTCCCACAGAGACTGTCTCAGGCCAGGGAAATGAGGTGTTTCTCCACCGTCTATGTGGGTGATGACAAAGCTCCTTTAACCACAGGATCCCTGTTTGTATCCAAACTGCTGCTGCTTTGCCCATTGGTATTTGAGGCTTTTCTGCTGTCTGAATGCACACCCCAAACTGAGATACCCCAGGTTTTTGGAAGTTCCTAAATGCAGTGGGACTGATATACCATTGAAAACCTCTAAGGATATAGGTAAGCTCTGTGAAAACACAAGAGGGAAGTCCCCCAAAAACTTCCAGAGCCAGGACTGCTTCTAGGATATATTGCTAAATAAAACCATTGTGCAGCCTTTCCTTGGCCAGCAAGGAATTTGTCTCTTGGGAGTCCCTGATAGGTACCAACAATAATCAAGGAAAATAAATGGGGAAGATTCCAGAAGTATTTTGAGGCTGAAAACAAGAAACGTTGCCTAAATTGCTGTGTTGTATTTGTGATTGTGATGAAGAAGGAGGTTTGCCTTTTGGGTCAGGTCCACAAGGAGAAATTTATTGGACCAGTTTCTCAGCCAGCCCAGATGCCAGGGCAGAGGGTGCTCCAGTAACCACAGAAACAGCACATTTATGTCCATCTACCTCCCTGAAGAAAGTGAGGCCTTATTTGCTTATTTTATGATGCTGTAGCATGGTAAAGCCTTTTCCCAGTGCTGAGTTGGGGGTGCTGCTTCTGGGATCAGACACCTTCCAGGCAAATGGTGCTGGCCAGAATCTCACTGGATACCATGGACAAGAGTGGTTTTTTTGTGCCCCAGGGTGCTGGGCCACCTGTGCTCCCAGCTGTCCTGAGCCCTGCTGCCTGGCCTGCTCCTGCTGCTGTGAGACAGCAACAGTCCATGACTTTATTCCCACATGAAGAAGTTTTATTTGCCAAAATGTAAACAGTGAGATGCCTGTGACTAAATTATGCATGCTTGATAATAGCCTTAAATGCTGGATTTGTGCTGGATGCTTCTAACCAGAGTTTTAAGTCCTGGCTTTTTAGGTTTTCCTTAACTTGTGAATTCATGTAATCTCAGATCTGCAACAAGCTTTTATTTCCTTTAGTCGTTCAGCAAACATTATTGACAAGTTATTTTTAAAGGTCTTTTCAAGTGACCTTTATTGATGTGGTATAATATTTTGCTGTTATAGGAAGTAAAATCCTAGGGATTATGGACCATGTGGAACACTTCATGTTTTCTAAAGGTCACATCCTGGCTGAGAATCTCTCAACTAACTTCTTTCAAATACTTGATTGACCAAAAATGTTCACAATGCCCAAAAATTTAACTTTTTTAAAAATAATAAATGGTGCAATTCTGTCTTTCAGAGTTATTCAGTATTTGTTACTGTGCAGACTGAGGGAGCAGTTGCAGTATTTTGGGTGGAACAAGACAGCCTTCCAAAGGCTTTGGAGGGATTGAAGATGCACTTTCTGCTGCTGCTGGTTTTTGATCTGAAAAGGAAAACCATTAATGTTTTTTCTTTTAGTAAAGGTGTTCATGATGACACTACAGCTGGATAGATGTCACCTATTTTGCAGCAATCTAAACATGAAAAAAAGCAACTCACCAGGTTTCAAACAGTGCCCAGCAGGGTCACCAGCCACGTAACAAGGAGGAAGAACAGTCTCTCCATCATGACGCAGCTAACAGAATTAAGATCCAGGATTTTTCTTTCTGCAGTTTCCTGGATCTGAATATACCCGGTGCCTCAGTTTCCCTGTTGATAATATGGGAATGGTGTTACTTTCTTACTTGCTAACTCTGGCCTGCTGCCAGGCTTCCTCATTAATATTCTAAGATGCTTGCTGAGGCTCTGGGATGAAAATACTTCAGTAAAGTATGTAAATAGTGCAAAAAAATAATTTAGCTACTCAGAGTGGATTAGTCTCCTTGTTTGGGTTATAGAATTAATGTCATCCACTAAACACCATGTGCCTCTTCTAGTGATTTTGTTTTAATTAATGCATCTATTTTAAGAATCTATTAAAAAAAAATGAGATTTGTGATTAAAACTGTAAACCATTTGTGTAGTTTTTCTTTTACTTGTAATAACAAATTTCCTATAAGATTCATAACGACCTCATAGCCTATACATTTGAAATACAGTGGCTTTGTAAATTCTGTTGGGATTTTCCTTGTATACAGAGAATATTTTTTTAAATATGTAATTTTGAATCTAGTATATTACAAACTGAACACTGTCAAATCCATCTGTTATTTGAGAAGAATTTATCTTGTAATAAAGAAAAATTAATAAGTCCAGATATTATAAACTTGTCACTTATTCATGCTAATTTTATATATGTGTTCTGGATAGACAGACCCACTATTAATTAGAATAATAGAATGTTAAGGGCTTGGAATGGACCTTTAAGATCATCTAATCCCAACCTCCCCTGCCATGGGCAGGAACATCTCCCCCTAGACCAGGTTGCTCAAGGCCTTATCCAGCCTGTCTGAGAACACTGCCAGGGATGGGGCATTCACAGCTGCTCTGGGAAACCTACTCCAGTGCCTCACCACCCTCACAGTAAAGACTTTATTCCTAATAGCCACTCTAAGCCCTCTCTCTTTCAGTTTAAAGCCATTCCCCCTTGTCCTGTCACTACCTACCCTTGTAAAAAGTCCCTCTCCAGGTCTCCTGCTGTGCCCTTTTAGGTACTGGAAGGTGCTGTAAGGTCTCCCTGGAGCCTTCTCCAGGCTGAACAACCTCATCTCCGTCAGCCTGTCTCCATAGGAGACGTGCTCCAGCCCTCTGGTCCTCACAACTTAGTGTGATTGTTTTTGCTTAGATCTCTGTATCCAGGGGGCAAACCTGGACTGGCAGCACTGGCAGTTTCTGGCCATGTGGTTGCCTGCACAAGCTGTAGCCATTGCCCTACATGGTTCAGCTTTTGGGTTGGAATATCCAGGGCTTGTCAGAAACATCCTCTTCCAGAAGTAGTTTAGACTTGTCTGCCTCAGTTACTGCTGCCAGCAGCCCTAATTTTTGGGTGTGGAACCCTTTTTTCTACCTCTTTGCCTCTGTATGCAAACAACAATTAAAGTGCTTCCCCCCCACCCCATAATTTTGGATTCTTACTGTTCAAGATGTGGTTTTGTTGTCAGCCAATTAATTCCATGTTAGTTGTTACAGGTTTTGCACAGCTAAAGAGAATTGCCCGGGGAAGCAGTTAGTTAACATGGAGGCTGGTGAAGAGCCCCCACACTGAAAGGCTGGCAGGGTCTGAGGATCACTGCAGCTCCCTTCTGTGCAAGTGCCCTGAAGGAGCACCTCTGAGTCCTGAGAACAGAGCAGTGCTGCAGCATGGCACTTCTCCATGGATGCCAGTGGCAGACATGCAGGTCTTGCTGGCCAATGGCAAGCAGTGTTTCACAGTTAGGACTTGAGAAACCTGGAGTGTAAAATTTTTAGGCAGGATTAAACTTTGGGCCTATTTCTACACCTTTTACTGCAAACATAGTATTTTCCCCTTTCTTGAAGAGGGATATTGTAATATTGAAAGTTGAGCAAACAACTTGCTCCAGTATCTTGCTTGCAGCATTTGGTATGCAGTGTTTGAGAAGAGCATCCAGAATGGGATGTCTTACTCTCCCATTACAGATTCACACAGGTTTATGAAGGAATAGGCTATACTGTCAATAATGTTGGCATGCCTTGTCACTCATGGAATCATTGGATCCTTCTCCAGATCAGTTTAGGATCCTGTTTTTCCTTTGAACATCTTGCAGCAATAAGCTGTCAGGGTTTAATTAGAAATTACCTCAAACAAAAAGTCCCTTAGCTTTGCTGTCTTTTCTGAAATTCTTAAAGAAGAGGTTTTGACAATCTGCCTTTGCAGCTTTGTTTGTCCAGTAGATGCTTCTCTTCTGTCACCGTGATCCATTTCCTCTCAGAGATGAGCATTCCCCAACATGTCCATCTCTTGTCAGTGAAGATTGCTCCTCATCCTGGGATACTTAATACTCTCTTGTTCTGTAGCCTCATTTCTGATGGAGAAGCACAGGTTTTTGTATCTCAGCTTCCCCAAGACCTCTAGGCTTAAAGTTTCCTGCTGCTTGGATTTGGGTCTCAGCAGCTCATGCATATATAAAATACAGGGTGTGGGATCTGGGGGTGCACCCATGCACCTGCAAAGTGGGAGACATTTCTGACCCTTGGGTTTGGGGCACTATCTGCTTTTGCCTCTGTGTCTGCCCAGAAGGGGGACTTGCATTAGCAGTTCCTAGTGCGTGAGGAGAGGGAGGATGGAGCAGATGGAGGATGCAGGCCACTTGCTCCCTCTCCAGCCTTCTGCATTCTCCACATATTTGTAAAACAACTTTTGTTTTAAATTGAATTGATTTCTAAGAGAGCCATTAAAATACAGAAATGCTTCTCAGTGACCTAGTACTCTGCATTCATGTTGGTAAAATTTTGGATGTGTTTCTATAGTCCTCCCGCCAGTTCTTTGTCAGGGTGAAGGGTTTAGTTGGCTCTGTTAATCCACTCTCTAGCTGAAATTGTTCATTTAAATAGTTGTAAAAATCCACTCTTTTCCAATGCGAATCCTATATTCCCAGATTTGAGTACTGCTGCCAGAGCAAAGACTTCAAATTCTCTGAGTGCAACCACACTATGTCAGTCCAAAGCCAAATTGCAAACACTTATCCACAATTCCCCTTACTCAGCTTTAAGCTAATTTTTCCAGCAGGCAACAATAGTCATAAAAGTATAGGGGAAGATCATTACAAGAGCTTAAGAAATGCTTAACTGATTTCTTTACAAGCTGTGGGATAATTCTACCACATTTTCTTATTGGAAGAAGTTACTTAATGTATTTTCAGCACATGGTTCTTCAGTGTCAGAGTAATTAAGAACAATCAAAGCCACTGAAAAATGAAGTATGGAATAAAAGATCAAGTGATTGTTTAAGCTGAAGTCAACTGAACTAGAAAAAGTAAGTTCACCGACATGAAGAAAAAAGCTTTGAGTGCTCTGCTCTTTTACAATTAGGAAAGGCAAACACATTGTGTAACTCTTCCTACATGCAGTGATGGATAATGATCAGGTCACACCATGCTGTATTGGGTGGTGAGGTTTGTTCCTGCAGGTCTGTTAAGAGCATCACTCATGTCAGGTCTTTCCTGTAGCCACAGTATGATGTGCCCAGAAACACTTCCCTGCTAATCCAGTTCACACTCTGTAAACAGCTAACAAAGTTCCTCAGGGGGCAGGGGGAACAAAGCTGGTTGGAAACACAGGCAGAGGACCAGTCTCCTCCAGTTGCAGTTGATATCTCCGAAAAAGTAACATTTCAGAGGCCAGTGGAGAGAGGAGCAATTACTGTCCAGCAAAATTACAATCTGAATGGGCTGCCATTTCCAGTGCTTCACTAGGATGGCTGTGATTGCTATAGAAACTTCTGAAAGTGAGACAGAGAGGTTTTCCAGCACTGGAAATTGCGAAAGGAGAAGGTTAGACTGGTTGGAAAGCCCATTCAGTCAGGCAGCTGCCAATCGAGCCTCTTTGCCAAGTAGATTGTAGGAAATGATGATTAAAATGTCCATGGAATGCACCAGGCAAATTAAGTTTCAGTCACAGCCGCCTGGGCAGTTTTGGTGGGCAGACAGCTCCAGCCTGTGGTGCACCTGGGCTTGCTCTCCCCATGTGGCCTCTCCCACAGCCACCTGCCCCTTGCACACAGGTACTGCAGTGAAGCTGCAGCAGGATGCTGTGGCCATGGCAGCCTAAGGAACACAAGGGAGATGAGGTTTGTGGGGAAAGGTGGTAGTGACTGCTCTGGTATGATAAAGGATGTCTGGGGTGGGAGAAAAAAGCCAGACATCATTCCAGGTAAGGGAGCAGTGTCCCTCCCCAGTCCAACTTTGACGTTACTCCCAGGGCACAAGTCAAGGAGATGAGGGCTGCTGCCATGTTCACCACCCCGTGACTGGGCTGGCACCCCCTGCCTGTCTTGCCCACCCTACTCCCTGTGTTGGCATTTAAACAGGACTGTTGTCTTTGAACATACCCTGCCAATCCCTTCCCCTCCAAACAGCTGGCAGTGGACAGCTGAAACTCTCCCTTTGGGGCAGAACAGCTGGCAGTACAGCCAAAAGCCTGCCACAAACCACGAGGCAAGCCTAAGCCTGAGGGAAGTGTTGGTTCTTGGAACTTCCCCTTTTCCGCCTTTTCAGCAGCCTAGACAAGCCCCTGAAATCTCCTTCACAGCCCATCATCCCCAGCTTTGGTGGGACACCAAGGTGCAGCTGCAAGTCCAGTAATGTTTCTTCTTAAGGAGCTGCTCTGACCTCCTTTCCATATCCCCAGTCCCCAGCCTTTTCATCTGTGCTAGGGGAGGGTTTCATATCTTTTTGTGTTCATTGCTGGCCTTAGTAAAGCAGCTCATCTCCCTTCTGGCAGCAGGCTGGCAGCAGTTATTCCAGTGCCTCACTCCCCACCAATCCCCTAAAGGAATGTTGGTATTGGTAGGCTTTATCACCACCATAGTTTCATTTCCTTCTCTTTCCTGTCTCTCCTCAAGCTTCCTTTGGTTTAACTCCAGGCAGTCAGCTAGAAGAGTCTCAGGCAGGTAAGTGCAGACACAGGTAACGCTGTGGCGCAGTCACACGGCCATTTCCCTCCTCCTCCACGAGCTGGGTGCAGCCAGTGTGCCAGGCTTAGGCAGCTTCAGCGCTGTGGCCCCCCCCCCAATGTCCCTCCACAAAATTACAAAGTTTTGGTACACAAAATTATATGGCCTGCATAAATAAAAGCAATGCAATTTGTCTTGCAGTGTAAGGGCAAACAATGTAAAAAGTCACACCCATCAAATCCATTAAATGTTTGCTGTATGGATTTTTTTTTTCCCCAGGAAAAAACAAAGAAAAAAAGCCCTTTTGGTAGTGAACATAATGGGTATTTTGGTTTAGTTTGTGATTCTGCTTGTTTACAATTCCTCAATGCATAATTCTTTAAAAGTGAGAGTGACTTCATCCTGTGCTCTCAGAGCACCTGAGGACAAACATCGAGACATCTGCTCAAGCCAGTGCCTGTCACTGCCTGCCCAGCCTTTTTACATACATTGGTTATGTGTTTTACTAACACCAAGCTGCTGCACTACTGTCTATGTGTATATATTACATGTGCTCAAGGAGTTACGAATGGGTTCTGCAGACCTTGTGGCCTGTAACTGCTCCCATAGCCATGAGTTAAGCCTTGGTTAATGGATGCTAATCCGTCAATTCTCGAACAATTCAGCAAATTAGTTATTGACATAATGGAGAAATTATCTGAGTGTACCACAGCAACTGGTACTTGAGGACACCTCTGTCTGCTAGGGTTGACCTTAATAATTAACAGCTTTACCCACTGCCCCAGAGGTGCTTTATAAGGCAAGAGGCTGAAGGTTAAATAGCTTCTGTGCATCAGATGTGCTCATTACACCAGGATGTCTATAATGGCTTTTCTGAAGCCACAGCAGCTTGATAATTGATTGTTCTCATTTCATGGTCTTTCCAGGCGTCCCCTGTACCATTACAAAACTGCGCCCTTGTCCTTGCCAGGTTCCCTTTTCCTGTTCAGACTAAGTAGTGTTCCCTCTCTGAGCAGAGACTGCATTCCATCCCTTTGCTTGCACCTGGTGAGCTGTATGGTGCTGCTTGGACACCCCCCATCTCACTCCTCCACCTCAGCTCTTCCTTCTTGACAGACAGCTGCCTGCTATTTAACCACCCAACTCCACAGCATAGCATCCAGGCAGCCCTGCAGTTCTCCCTGGTTTGGTCCAGCATTTATTCCAGTTTTCCAAAATGAGGCAGCAATGATGAACCAGAAGCAAAGTGTCCTAAGTGACTTGGTGTGGGAGAGGAACAAGGTTTGCAAGGAGAGCACAACCAAGCAGGAAACCACCATTCATCAGTCACAGCCAGCATGGCTTCCTGAGGGGAAGGTCCTTCTTGTCAACTTAATTTTACAAGGGCACCCACCTAGCTGATCAAGGGAAGTCAGTTGATGTGATCTTTTTGAATTTCAGTAAAACTTTCAATACTCTATCACAGTATCCTTCTGGACAAAATGTCAGACACACAGCTGGATAAACACATCATGCCATGAATGAGCAACTGGCTCACCACTCAGGCACGAAGGGTTATAGGGAACAGGGTGACATTGGACTGGTGACCTGTCACTGATGGGGTTCCCCAGGGCTCCATCCACAGCCCTGTGCTCTTCAACTTCTTCATAAATGACTTGGATGCAGAATCTGAAGAGATCCTGGGTAAGTGCTGATGATACTAAATTGGGAGGAGCTGTAGAAGCCCTTGAGGGTAGGGAGGCCCAGCAGACAGACCTTGACAAATCAGAGGACTGGGAAATCACCAACCATATGAAGTTCAGTGAGGGAGAGTAGTGGATTCTGCACCTGGGATGGGGCAACCCTGAATGTATGGACAGACTGGGTAATGAGAGATTGGAAAGCAGTGCTGTGAAAAGGGGAAAGAGGAGAGGCAGACACTGCTTCTCTGATCAACTACTACAGCTGGAAATAGAAAACCTTTCTGGCTGAGAACACCTTTTCCAGCTCATTTAGAGCTGAAGCCATTGAGCTGTTAATGCCACAAGTTCCTGCCTATGTCCCAAATAAGAAATGAGCTTCAGAAGTCTCAGCCTTTGGGTCAAAACCCACCAATGTATTTAGGTACTTGACTAGGGTGGAAGATGGGTCCCTACAAAAGAGGAGCTGGACTCTAGTACCTCCTGTCTTTCAAACAGAAAGATGATTGAATATTTTTTGCATATTAACAGAGTAAGCTGAGGGTAACAGCAAGGCAAAGTGAGTTTTAGCCGAGCTTCCCATTTCTTGGCTTAAAGCAGACACAAGCTTCCATCTTCCTATTAACTTCACACAGCTCTCCCATGGAAGGGGAGAACCCCTGTTGCATTGGGGGTGTGTACAAAACCCTGTTGCACTACAAGTTCTGAGGAGATTTTACTGTTCCACTTGGGCTGAGATGCTCCTGTTGAAGGGAGATGTTAGGGAAGCTGTCAGGATTTGTGGGTCCCTCTCCTCTGACTTTGGTGCATCAACCATCAGTGACAACAGACAAGTTCAATGCTGTATTTTAAGTGAATCGAGGCACCACTGTTCCATTATTTAGGCAAAACAGAGAGTCCAGGCTAAGGCAGGATAAACAGTAAATTCTCATGAAAGACTGACTGAGAGAGGAAAGCTAGCCCCTAGTTCTGCAGGAATACTTTTGTACTTGGGCACATCATATGCCATCATCTGGCTCCCCTCTGTGTTAGGATCTTTCCTCTTGCCTCAGGGGAGGAAAAATTTTGTTCCTCATCTTTTCCTGGTGCAAGTGCATGCACTTGCATCACCTCAGCAGCTGCTGTAGTAGTGCCAAGCAGGCAGTTTCTCATCAGCCACGCTCACTGCTTCTGCGATTCAGCGGCACCTCCAGCCAAAATGCATTTCCTGTTCTTCGCGTGTCTTCCCCAGGATCTGCACACGCTGACCTCTCTGATGGTAAAAAAATTAGCAGGCTGGGGGTATTAAATCCTAGACTGGCAAGGATTTGTGGGTATACCCGTTTTTAGGATAACAGGAGTCATCCAGCTAGCCCAGGTTCCCCCCAGGACTTGCACCTGCTGGGGCTCTGGAAACACATCCACGCACACTGCAACCAGCCACTTCCCAGTGATAAAAGGGAATGCCGGCCTTAGGACACTGCTCTCGGCTTTCTCCTACCCTTCTTTGCAAAATCACAGAATCAGAACCGCAGAATAGCTTGGGATAGAAGGGACCTTAAAGCTCCCACGCCCCTGCCATGGGCAGGGACACCTTCCATTAGACAGGGTTGTTTAGAGCCCCATCCAACCTGGCCTTGAACACTTCCAGGGACGGAACTTCTCTGAGCAAGCTGCCCCATTCCCCGTTCTGTTCCATATTCCAAAGCTGCTCGGGAGAACTCCCTATTCCAAATCCGCTCGGGAGCACTCCCGCCGCAGCCCCGGGCGCCGCGGGCTGGGCTGAGGGCGGCCTGCAGGGCGGGCACAGCCCACAAGATGGCGGGCGCGCTCCGTGGCCGGGCGGCGGCGGGCGGGGAGAGCGGCCTGGCGAGGAGAGGGTGAAAATACACCTCAGACTGTCACCGCCAGGCTGAGCACGAAGTCAGGCAAATACACCGTACCGGCCTGGGCTGAGATCCCTTTCAGAAAGTTCAGTTTGGAGTAGAGAAGACTGAGAGGGGATGCCATCAATGCATACGTATCTGTCTCAAAGGCAGGAGCCAAGAGGATGGTGCCAGCCTACTTTCAGTGCTGCCCAGTGACAGGATGAAGAGCAATGGACGTGAACTAAAACACAGTAATTTCCACCTCAACATGAGGTAGAACTTCTTTATGTTACTGGAATAGGCTGCCCGTGGAGGTTGAGGAGAGTCCTTCTCTGGAGGGACTCTGAATCCACCTGGACACGTTCCTGTGTCACCTGCTCTAGGTGACCCTGCTTTGGCACAGGGTTCAGACTGGATGGTCTCCCGAGGCCTCCTCCAACCCAAAAATATCCATGAAGTGCTAGGAAAAAAAAAAAAAAAAAAAAAAAAAAGGAAGAAGGGAGATCTCAAACACCCACACTCCCAGCATGGGATACAGCCCTGTGTCCCATGTCAGGCAGGCTGGACACAAAAATGGGGGGCAGAGGCGCCATGAGGGGCTGCAGGGTGGCTGCTGGACAGGGAGGTGTGGGGGGCAGGTGGGCAGCAGAGCCTTCCACAGGACAGGGATGACCTAACCTTCACCATGATTTATGTTTTTAAACAGATGTGTTTTTAATACACAAACAGTCAATTATAACTTGGTTTTGGGAAGCAAGGGCTTCCTTGAAATTGGGCTGCCTTATATCACAGAGAAATATAAGTTGGAAGGGGCCCACAGGGATCATTGAGTCCAGCTCCTGGCCCTGCACAGGACCATCCCCAAGAGTCACACTATGTGTCCAAGAGTACTGTCCAAACTTCTTGAACTCTCTTGGTGCTGTGACACCTTTCATGTTGCTTGATCCTATCCCAGCCTTCTCCCTGTGGCCAGATGCTGCCTTGCAATGGCTTAAGCTGAATCCTCACAGTTACAGCACCAGCAGGATCCTTTGGTGCAGGGTACAGGCCATGTGTGCTCCTGAGCAAAGCGACAGGCAGGCTCTCAAAAAAACTTTGGAAGGCTTCTGCATGGCTTCTGCAGGTTGTGACACCACCTGGATCCCTGTCTCCAACCCATCATTTTTAGCATGTATTTGGCAGCACGTTGCCTGGGTGGTGGAAGGCTGTCTCCACCCTGGGGTGCAGAAGTTCTTGGTGAAGGTCATTGCTGCCCCTGCATGTGGAGACTTTCTGGCAAATGGAGCTGGTAGTGCCACCTATTCCTGAGATTGAAATAATTCTGGGATGCTCGTTGCACATACTGGTGTTCTTATGAGAAACGGTGACTCACATAATTTCAGATGCATCTGTGAATTCCCCACATTCAAGGGTAGCTGTGCTGGTGAGTTGTATCTCTGTATCTTAGTGAAGAAATCTCTCTGTTGTGGTTGTCTTCTGCTGGGAACCTGTTCTCAAAAATCACAGTATCTGGAACAGACTTAGAGGACTCTGGCTTTTGAACCAGCCTAAAACCCCAATGCTGTGAAATCCAGAGCACTTGTAGGATTTAGCTTATTTCAGGCTCCTTAAAATACCCCCAGGACTATGCCTTTATGAAAAAAGATGGCCCTTGCTTGGGCTTACTATGGTTAGGAGCTTCAAGAAGCTTCCTTAGTCCTGTTCTTCCACCCCTTCATCATCACTGTCTCCACTTCTTCTCCTCCCACAGGGCTCAGCTTACAGAAACCCTATCCACTGACAACATCCTAGGAGAATGTATGGACTATATCCTCTCCAAAAACATGAGCAAAGAAACTGGAAGGTACTAGAGGGAATGGGTCAACCTCTGTTTAACATTTAATGGGTTGTTGTTTGGTTTGGGTTTTTTAAAATTATTTTGTTGTTTGTTTTTTATCATGAGAACAGCTCTTATCTGCTTGGTCTTCCCCATGTGATTTCCCCTTCCAGGCTCATACCTCTCTTGATTGGTGCAAGCAGCTCCTTATGCATTCAGGTTCTGTTCTTCTGAGGCACCAAACTTCCCCCTCATAAAGTGCAAGCACTCCATGTGGCACTCAGGAAGTAAGGCATTTCGATGCCCAGTTTTCTTACATACTTAAGTACCTTTTAGGCTCTATTTCTTAATCTCAAGCGTTAAAGAAATGCTAAATTCAAGTGGAAAATATAGATGAACTTGTTAAACATTGGTCCCTCTGTGACTTGCCTAAAGGAAGAAATTATATCAAGATTTTTGTCAAGTCAAACTATTGCACAAACACATTGAAGGGAGGTACCTAAGAAGAGACCTTTACTGGAACACTTTGCCCCTATAGAGAATCTGCTGGAACAGAAGTCTGATGATATGCAGAAAAGTGACCTCAATGTTTCAAGATTATTGGTCCATGTAGAGTGAAGAAGAAGCAAGGAAAAAAATCAGCTCAAATCAAGCATGCTAGAGCATAACCCTCTCTGCAGATCTCTTCTCATAACAGTCCCAGCCCGTGAAGGAACTGGCACCAATAGATGCTGAAGCCTACTGAAGGCCTTTAATGTAGCAAGTCAATGAACTTTGATGAAACTGGCTTTTCTGGAAAGCCAGCTGGATTGCCAGGGTAACCACATCACAAAAGGATGCAGGACGGAAAGATACAGACATTTGCTGAAAAGTTCTATGGGTTTGACAAAATTAAATGAAACTGGATGTCCTAGAAAACTGTTTTCACATTCATCATGTCTCTTGGCTGGATTCCACAGCATTACAGAAACATTTCTACAAGAATTGATTAATTTTCACATTCCGGGCCCTGGAGAGCATCCCATGCTGCTCAGAATAGGTAGGTTTTTTTTGAGTACAGGCTTAGAGGTGAGATCTAAGCCAGTTGGGCAGGGCCAACATCCTTCAGTTGCACATTACCATGCATATGACTGAATCCTGCATCAACAAGCTGAAAGAGAATAAAACGACTATCTGCTAATTTTATCCACATTTAGCAGCAGGATATGCATATAAAAGCAGATGAACTGTGGGGACAACAGTAAGATAATCTGAGACAGAGAGCAAAGGTAAATCTTCCCTCTGAGACAAAGAATAACCTTCATCTGGCCAATGACTAAACAAATGGATCCAAGCTACAGGATAAGGTTAAAAGCAACATCCATCCAGAGTTTAAAGAAGTTTCAGACTCATGGGTTCAGTTCAGACTAAAATATGTGTTCTCAAGTTCTAAAACTAAATGTTTCTTAAAGTCTGGATGAGTTCCTCCCTGGCTCTGTTTGCAACTGCAGTCTCTGCAGAAAAGCCCACCAGTGGCTGCAGGACTTCACCACTTCCATCTCTCCAGCCAAATCTGTATTCTTCTTACATCCTCTGTACGTTCCTGTGCTGGAGCTCTTTGCTCGTCCAGATACTTCTGCTGCTTTCCAGAGGTATGGGGGCTTCAGGAAAACTGGTTGGAAAATTTTTTGCATGTCCTCCAAAAAAAACCCAAATCTAAAACAAACATCACCCCACTCACCCCCCAACATTTCGTATTCTTCAAAGGGTTTTTTCCCCACATAAAAGAAAGTTTAGGATTCTCACTATTTGGAGATGTAAGTTCAAAATCCTGCTCTACCTCTAACTTCCGTGTTCTAGAAAGCCTATGAACAAGGTTAATGGTTTGTGTATATTGGCAACAACTGCATGAAAACTGGATGACAACTCCGCCCCTTCATTCATGGAAGCATAGACTGGTTTGGGTTGGAAGGAACCTTTAAGATCATCTAGTTCCTACCCCCCTGCCAGGGGGAGGGACACCTTCCACTAGATCAGATTGCTTCAAGCTCCATCCAGCCTGACCTTGAACAATTTCAGGGTGGGGCATCCTCTCTGCTCCAGTGTTCATCCTTCTCACCACCTTCAGACCCTAACACTGAATCTACACCTATCCTCTTTAAGCTTAAAACTGTTCCCCCTTGTCTTATCACTACATGTAAAAAGCCTCTCTCCTTTGTTTTTATGAGCCACTTTAAGTACTGGAAGTCTACAATAAGGTCTTCCTGTAGCCTTCTCTTCTCCATTAAGAGAAGATAAATCCCAGCTCACTCAGCCTGTCTGGGCAGGAGAGGTGCTCCATCCCTCTGATCATCTTCATGGCCTCCTCTGGACTCGCTCTAACAGGTTCATATATTGTACTGGGAACCCCAGAGCTGGATGCAGCACTCCAGGTGGGGACTCAGAGAGCAAAGGGGCAGAATCACCTCCCTTGACCTGCTGGCCAGACCTCTTCATGCAGCCCAGGATGTGTTTGGCTTTCTGGGCTGCAAGTGTACACTGTTGGCTCCTTTTCATCCACGAGAACCCAAAAGTCCTTCCCCACAGAGCTGATCTCCATGAATTCTTCTGCCAGTCCGTACTGTCTTTGATTGCCCTGACCCAGCTGCAGCACCTTGCACTTGTTGAACCTCAGGAGGTTCTCATGCACCCACTTCTCCGGTTTGTTCAGCTTCCTCTAGATGGCATCCCTTCCCTCTGTTGTGTCAACTGCACCGCTCAGCTTTATGTCATCTGCAAACTTGCTGAGGGTGCACTTGGTCCTACTGTCATTAATAAAGATACTAAAGATACAGCGCCTCAAGGGACACCACTCGGCACCAGCCTCTACCTAGGCATAGAGTCTTTGACCACAACTCTCTGGCTGCATCCATGCAGTCAATGCCTTACCTACCAAACAGTTCACCTTTCAAATCCATGTCTCTCCAGTTTGAAGATAAGGATGCTGTGTGGAAATCACTTGCCTTGTTTCAGCTCTTTGTACCTTGCCCTTTGGAACAAGGAAAAGTGAGCAAACTTGTCTTAGGGCTTGAGATTATAAAATACTTGCATCATACCTGGCAGATGGCAATAAACAGGAAAGCACTGGGACCCAAGAAAAGGCAACAGGAGATGAGAAATTCCCGATTTCCACGACCAACTGGTCTGGAAAAGGAGCCTTGTTTTTAAAATTAGATTAGGGCACTTCTCAAGATACAGACTGCAGGTATTTTGCAGAGATACCTTAGTGTGTTTCTGTCAATAGCTACAGCAGATACAAACTTGTACTTCTGGATGAAAGGTACTTTATCAAAAAGTTCCTGACAAGCTCTTATTCTCACAGCACATCACTGACATACCCATCTCATGTGAAATCTGTGCAAGAAAGACAGGGTTTATTTTGTCAAATTATAGGTAGGAAGCACCCTCCAAGACATCCTGCACCACAGATTATCAATGCAGGAAAACATACTGAGCCTGGTGGCAAAGGCAATACAAGGAAATGGATACTAGGGAAACTAGGTGTGAAGAACAGGCAAGACCAGAGCTTATGAAGATGGAATTAAAAAGAAAAACAAACAAACTGGAAAAGGAAACTACTTATCCTAGCTACCAATGAGCCGCTGAGCATCACAAATTTTTACTCATGCTCTCCTAAAATGAAAGATGCTGATGCCAATCT